TGACAGTAACTAACATATCGGACCAGGAGGCTCTGGATGACTTCCTCAACTCCACTAATGATGATGACATCATTAGTGGAGCACAGGATCATCACAGCACAGGATCATCACTGACCTCAGGTAACCCCGACTCATGCAGCTGTGGGGATATTGTTCGGGTTGTATTAATACCACTAGTATTATCGAGGAGAGTCGAGGTTTAGTTACTCAGTGAATTAAGAGTTGTCTTCTCCAACAGGTCCAGACCTCGAGTCCTGCTCCTCTGAATCTTCGAGTAGCCAATCAACCCGAGCCCCTCCCACAACCAGCCAAGCGTCCAACCAGGACGCGGAGTGGGAGAAGGACGAGGAAGCGGCCAGTGAGGAGAGCGATGAGCCTCTGGTGCAGTCGGACGAAGAGGAGGTCCAGCCGGACATGTCGCTGGTCGGCTTACAGGACGTTGGCGCAAGAAGGGGCTCCGACGAGAGCGACCCCGCAGGGGACCTGTCCTCCGGGTAACCTAGCAACCAGGCACCTTGAATACTGGGTAAACACTGACTACTGTTACCCCTCTGGTGCCCTCTTGATTTGACTTGACACGGCTCCCATCTCCAGCCAACATGAGCAGCACTTCACTGCTCCTTTCCTCTGAGGTTTGAAACAAACGTGCCCTCTGGTGTTCAGATGTTAAGGACAGTTGTGCTGAGCTGTCACTCAGTAGTGCTAACTAACTGAGACCTTGTCTATTCACTGTTTACCCAAAGAAATTGATTTAAAAAAAATAGAGAAGCACCGATACCATTTTTTGCTTCCCGATTCTGATACCTGAACCTACGTGTCAGCCGATACGAGTACTGCTCAGATACCAGTGCGTAAATATCCCAAAAAGTTAAACAGCTCATAATTCCCTCTCAAATACATATTTGATATTGTTGTGAAAACATCTCCTTCAAACAACTGTCTTTATTCAAGTTTCTAGTCAAAAACTACATTTTACCAGACTAAATTTGAACACATCATACTTACCTTATTACATTTGCCCAAATCTCATTTTTTCTGAATAGAGCTTGAACGCATCATGATGTTACTCAATGCAACCTCCGATCAGCTGACGTGTATTAGCTCTCCTCCTGCCGAGTTCAACACACAGATTTGTTGTTCACAATGTAGCATCATCAGAGAAAACATAGAGTAAGTTTTCTAACTTCCCTGTCAATCACATACCTCATTAAATTAATCACCACGGCAATTTCACCCGACTAACACCAAAATGTCCCCTTGTGAATCTCTGGCCCTGCCTGCGTTTCTTCTGTCATCCTGTCTCCTGTTTCAAAAAGCGGTTTCCTTTGTGTTTGTTGCTGTTTTTGCTCGATATCATCTTCACGCATGGTGTGAACCGACTGCCTTTAAAGCTAACATGTACTAAAGGTGGAGATGGGTAAGGCCACTGCTTGTGCACACTAGGTCATTAACTAATCCAATAGTTATGTTAGATGTATAATAGTGTGGGCTGGCAACAGTGTCAGTATTACATGGATGACAAGGGATAATTGCCATAACAGCTGCACAAAAGGAGGAGGCATCACGGTGGGATTGTCTTGGCAAACCCACACCTAGATAACCTACAATGTGTTAAAGTAGGAGTTTATCCTGAAAAATATTTAAGTATGATTTTTCTTTGATTTTTGAACATGCTGCTAATAATTAATCTTTCTTTAAAATGATCTTCATTCACTATATATGGCACAATAGTTGTTTTGTACAATTCATGGCCAGCTAAAGAATGGGCAGAAAAAAAAAAAAGAGAGCTCAGCACAGCTGGCCAATCACAGCGAGAGGCGGGTGTGAATGATGGATGGTCTGTTAAAGAAAACTACAGAAGTTATATCGTGCTGACTGTGGACGATTTTTCTTTCCTGTTCTGTTATTTAATACACTGCTACACTAAGTTACACACATGTTTTAGGTGATTGTGTAAAAAACATGAACGCAGAGGATGAAATGTATGATTTTGTTGTGCTAAATATGATGGTGTGGGTCTGCAGCTCATTTGGAAGGCGACTTTGAGGAGATGGAGAGCAGACTGGTCTACCTGGAGACTCTGTGTTGTCAGTGTGAACAACAGACGGTCAAACAACATCACGTCAACCAACTAGAAGTCTATAAGAAAAAGAAGAGGTAGGAGACGCGCATGAATGTTTAAATGTGTGAGAGGAGCTCGTTGTTGACCCTCGACGCTTTCTGAAAAATCTGTGACTTGAACTAAACATTGCATTGGCACTGATTTAAGGAAAAAATTGTTGCAATCTTAACACTTGTCCCTTTAGTTTGTATCTGTGTACTAGAGGTAAGGCTGTCTGTAGCTTTTACTTCCTGTTGTTAGTAGACAATGAAACCATCAGTGGAAATAAGAGACTTTTAAGGCAAATTAAAGTTACAAAGATCTGCTAACCAGTTCCACACTTGTGTTTATACATTTGAAAATGCATTGAATCACACTAAATTGGTGCTTTAAAAAAAGAGCAGTCTTGTGTCATAGTCAAGGGTTGGTACCTTAAAACTCTACTCAAGTAGAAGTACTCAAGTAAAAGTACTAGTTGAGTAAAATTACAAATATTGGCGCCTGTTCTTTTTTTCTCCGCACTTCTATTAGATGTGAATATGAGTGACATCAGTTCAGGTAAGGAAGTGAACATACATCTGTATCTATGGTCAGTTGGTGTGGTCATCATGTCATCATTAGATCATCTGCTGCATGTACACCAGGACAATATTCCCAGTCCGTATCTCTCTGT